TTTAAGGTTATAGTTTTAGTTTGAAACAGAATTGTACATACAATTCATTAGCAGACTGACTGACAGACAACACACTGCTTTATAGTTGTGTGAGTGGTTAAAGCAGGTGACCCCTCCAGGCAGTATTTGGGCCTCTTTTGGAGAAATAATTCAAGTTAATCTTAGAATGCCAGCATACTAGTTAAACCTGTATATTAAACTAATTATACTGCCATTCTAAGGTTAAAAGAAAATTCTAATAGGCATGTTGTGACAACTTTCTCTTTTAATCAATCGAAAAGAAAGGGTTTTTATTGTAAAAGTTCAGTTACTTGTAAAAAAAGGTTAACACACTGTTTAACCAAAATGATAAAAAATGCAACTATTGGTATTATTTTACAGTTGTTGATGAAGTTATATGTACATTTCTGTTTGCAACTAAAAAATTAAAAATACCAAAAACTATTACTATAGAGTAATATGTTGTCTGTCAGCCAGTCAGTAGGGATGCTTAACATTGCAATTTGTACTATCATGACATCAGTAAAATGTGAGCATGACATGAATCACAAGAAGAATTATGAACTCTGTAAGCATGACATATGAACCTCAAGAGCAAGAAATATAAATATTTGTTGCTGTTAATTTTGGTTTTATTTACTCTTGAAACAGAACTTTTTCAGGGATCGTGCAAAGTATATGTAGTTACTTAATATTTTTGAAGTTATTCATTTTATGTTATTAAAAATTCAGAGTTATTTTTAAAATATATATAAATTTGTTACTGTTAGTTATAAAGAACCAACATAATCAAGTTTTGTGGAGCTTTTTTTTTAACAATGTTTTGATTTCTAACATTTATCACTGCAAAAGAGTTTATAGGTTTACATTATAACTTTATAACTGCTGTTAGGCAGGTGTACATTTTCAAGGAAATGATAATATTATGTTATAAATGTACAAAATGTACAGAAATTATTGTAATTAAAGTGCTTACAAACTAGAAGCTTGTTTCACTTCAAAGAAGATATAGAAATCCAAATGATTTTGTATACAGGTGCCATATTTGAGCCTTATGTCCCCCCTGAAGGAGATGGAAAAATTTCTGTCATCTCAACTGCTGTAAGTCCATGGCTCTAAGTTAACTTTTTAACCAGTTAGCCCATTTTAGTTACTGACTATAATAGGTCACTAGTTAGGGCTAGTCACACACAAATTTTTGCTAATAAAACAATATTTACACAAAGCATGAAGATTTGTTACTGTTTCTGTGGAAATCATTAAAATAGTTACAACAACTTTCCGTTGATTAATTTACAAGAATATTTTAAATAAATACCCATTAGTTTACAAGAATACTTTAATTATATATCCATTAGTTTACAAGAATACTTTAAATATATACCTGTTAGTTTATAAGAATATTTTAAATAAATATTCTTTATTTTATAAGAATACTTTAAATAAATATCCTGAAATAATTTTTTTTATACAATGTTATTCATCTGTTTTTGAAATAACAATACTGTATGGCATTTTAGTTTTTTTTCTGATTTCTTTTTAGAAATTATCAGACATAACACACTTCATTGTGAAAATGACATACACTTTCAGCATGTCATATTTCTGTATTGACTCTCAAAGCAAAAATTAACTGTATCTAGCAGCTCATCTGGTAAAAGTTATTACATAATAGGGAATTGATTTAAGTGAAAGCCCACAGATTGTATTAAATGTTTATGCAAATTACGTTTAATTGTGAATAGGCATAAAACTGTTTTCAACATTAGACATATTTTATTTCTTTTAAGGGAGCGAAGCAAAGAATGACATTTCTTGAGAAAAAAGGAAAATCTTACCTGGCTATCAGAAAAATTCGGTCTTTTGAAGATGACTTTGATGTTCCAGAATTAGCAGAAAAGGCTCAGACCATCTATATTGAAGCAATCAAAGCTCTTGTTGCGTAAGTTGAAAGTGATAGGTTGATTGTTTAATGTGTAAAATCATGCCATGAAAAGTTTTAGGTTTTATGTTATTTATTTCATAGCATTTTAGATCTTTTCAAGATATGCCTAAACATGTGTTTACCTAAGCTGGATCCGTTATTAAACATGACATGAAAAAAACTCTGAAACATGTTCTTCATTTATATTGTGACTTGGCATTAAGTCTCAAATCTTATAACACTAAAAACCAGATTTCAATACCTTTGGTAGGCACAACCCCGATAGCCCATTGTATAGCTTTGTGCTTAACAAAAAACAGATCCCTTTGATCTCATTAAAATCCTGTTTGATAATATTTTATTTCTTATAAGAAAATTGGAACACCTTTTATTTTCGTATGTATTGTATGTAATTGTTCTTTGAAGTTATTAATTTACAATTTAAGCTTTAGAAATCTGCCAAGGTAAAAGGTATTAAAATGTCACATGGTTTTTCAGAATTGTGAATATTTCTGATGTGATGCTGGGAAGAAAATGTTAGATTTGTTTGATAAAATTGTATTCTTCAGTAAAGAATTCAAAATTTATAACTTTGTTTCTTTTGTTATTCAATGGTTAAAATTCATTTAAATTCTTTTATGCTATTGTTACAGGAAGAACAAACACAAAGTTCATGAACTAGTCACAGAGAAATGTTATCCGGTAAGATGCATTTCTTATTGTTATGCTTTTTGAAATATGTAAAATATTTGTAGTATTATAGGCCAAGTTATATTTTTTTGTATCATGTTATATCGGTCCCTTTTTTGTCCCTAAATATTATGTTATATAAAATTTTCTTTATTGGTTCAGAAGAAGTTATAAATAATACCAGTTTTATGTCAAGTAATGGAATAAAATTTTGTTTAATAAGTATCCCTAAAGCAAAACAGATAAGTTTGAGCAGGTTTACGTATAGCTAAAAATTCATATAAATAAAGGTGTATGGTTTTTTAACACAATATTTAATCTTTCAAATACTGTAATTTTTAGCTACATATTTCTACAAAGAAACCTACTTTATGAACCTTTCTGACCAGGTTAGTTTCATGTTTTTTTGGAAATATCAGGTTTTTCTTATCAAACTATTGCCACTGTTTGACAGAAATGCTTCATGTGGTAAAATGTTGTGTCTTTATGGAGTAACAAGAAGGATTTTTTCAAATAAAGCATTAAAAATTCTTTTTTTCTGTAACTCCATTACTACTGTATATGTTTTAGAAATAATTGTGTTATTGTGCAATATTTAATTGTGATGTATTTTAGAGAAGTTTATCTTTAGAGTCTCACTTATTAGTTCACTAATTATCCTGTACTGATGTAAGTGCATCTTTTGTGAGATATAACAGTTCATGTCTTGTGTAATGAACATCTTAGTAATGGCCAAAAATAACAGTTTAACCTCAGTGAATGTTTAGTTTAAATGTATTTCTAGCTTCAGGTATTATTATGTTTCAAAGGTTCCCTGTCTTTTATGCTCAGTTTCATGGCACATGGCAGAGAGTAAATAACTTTGTTGTTAAGATGAATATCAAAACAAAAACTTTAAAACTATGTTTATTTAATCCAAATTGTAGTTGTAAAGTATACAGTTCATGTACATAACATGTCATCAATACTGCATTCTAATGGTGTTTATGTTTTTATGCATTCACTGTGCTATTTTATTAATTGTACAATTGTAAGCTTTCTTTAAACTGCACAGTTGAGCATGAAAGTTTAAATAAATTTCAGTCACCTAAATTGTGAGTAAAAGTTCAGTAGCTGTTTACTGATTGTTTGATCTAGGCTTCATTTGAAGGGTTAGAAGCATCTCCTTCATTTGTAGCATAGTTTTGTTTTTGGCTTTACCAATTACTTTGAAAATACTGGAGGTTGCTGACCAATGCTTGAACCTAGGATTAGAGTGTTCCTTTAAATGATCTTCCAGTCTTCTAACTGTCAATCTGACATAAGTGCCCCACACTTTAGGCAGCAAAATTTATATGTAATATGTGACTGTTGAGAAAATTGCATACAATCTTTAAACCTAAAAAAATTCTGAATTCTCTATAAAGATCTAAACACAAATTGAGAGTGAACTTGTGGGTAGACTCTGTTGACTATGATGTATAGTTTCTTCTTTAAGATTTATGAGTGCGAGTCTGTGTATGGTAGAAAGGTCATTAAATGTGACTTTGAAATGTGCCATAGTTTAGTGGCCTGGGTAGATGTAATTATTGAACAGTGTCATTGATGGTAGAACCAATAAAGTTGTTTGGGAAAAGTGTTAAGTTTTAAAACAGATTTTAGATTGAGTAACTCTCACTGTAATAGTTCTAGGGAACTGGTGGTATGGTGTGCAAGAGGTTTTCTGTAAAATGAAGTGGAACAAAACTGTTAAAGTGGGTGTATAGCGTGGTGTAGATGGGTTTCTGATAACAACTGTCATCAAAACATCCTTGTTTGTTGAAAACAGGTGTGTCAAGAAAAGATAGAGCAGAGCATTGTTGAGATTCACAGGTGAATCTAATGTTAACATGTTTAGAATTCAAATATTTTACAAATTTCACTAATTATACAATTGTGAGCTTTCTTTCATCACTTTCCCCCTGGAGATAATGTGAAGTGAAAAAAATAAGTTGTGCTAAAATGAAAGTCTTTCAATGAAAACATAATAATTGTTACTTTCAATAATAATATTGGCTCTACTATTTAGTGTATCAAATGTTACTACTTTTTTTATTGTTGTTTATTACTATAATTTTATTATAATTTTTTATTTTATTTTTAGCTTAATGCATGTATTTAGGACTAACCTAAATCCTCTAAGCTGGCCGAACCCTGTACGATATTATTGAGCCAAAAATATCATTAGTAGTGAGGGTACTCAACTGACAAAACAATGCATTCTAATATCTTTTTAAATAGAAACATATATTTAATTAGCTATGCTGATTGCCAAGTTGATTTTTAGTTTTATCCTGATTGGAAATTAATTATTAAAAATGAGCCAAAAAAATTCATTACTTCCAGTTTTCTGACTTCCAGAGACTCCAGAAACAGAAGAGTAAGAACAATGAAAGACTATGTAACATTTGATTTTAGCCAATATTAGAAAAGTATGGCAATGAGAATGATTTGGAAAGGATGGTTGTTGTATTGATTGCTTAAAAAGTCAACCTCTTATATTTGAACCAAAAGTAGAGACTAGCAATTTTGAACACTAGTCATTATCAGAACATGAAAGCAATACCAACACTAGTCATTATCAGAACATGAAAACAATACCAACACTAGTCATTATCAAATCTCAGTTCAGCATAATGACTAACCCCATGCAATACACTTTTGTATCATTCCAACATATTTATTTAGTATTATTGTCCTACAAACAAATGATGATTTATTTTAATAGGTACTTACCCTTTTTTTCTTGCCATTTTACCATTACAATAAATACGATACTCATAACTGTTAGTACCAGTAATAACATTTAATTCTTGTATTTGTCATAATATGTGAGCCAGGAATAAAATTATCATCTCCATAATAATGAACACAGACAGTGCTCCATTTGTTGTACATTCACTGATCTTTTCTGCTCCTTTTTATGAAACAGTTCCTAAGGTTACTTTTTTTTTCCATGTTCCAGTACCTAATGCAGTGAAACATTATTAAAATTATTATACTGAGTACAACCATTCACATTTTGTAAATTTAAATGTGTTGTATCTCTTCACCAAAGTTCATTGTGGGTTACTTATGTGATGTGGCTTTGTAGTTTGTTTGTTTTTATTTTGTGGTGGCTGCAGTTTAAAAAGATGAAAAAATATTTGTTCATAAGCTGAATTTCTAAAAAAGTTTCAAAAAGTAGGCTTTTACATTAGTTACATATATAGAAGTTTTTATGCATAAAAACATTCATTAAATTATACTTCAAACTACTTATCAAATAATATCAACATTTAAATGGAATTTATTGTTTTGCCAAGCAGCTTGTAAACTTACACTTTTGACATTGGTTCATTTCAAGTATAAAGTTAATTGATAAAGAAAAAAGTATACTCTGCATGGGCTTAGCTTTCTTTATTATTCTATATCATAAAAAAAAGATGAAGTAGAAGAAATAAGTGAATATAAAAGTGATTAGTGTTCATGGCATTATCTTGGAAAAGCTTAAATATTCATTAGCAGATGAATGTAGAAGTAAACAGTGATCATGGTGTAACTTTGAATGTGCCAGTAAATATTGGGTAATTTATTATTATCAGGTGAATGTAGACATAGTTTATATTCAAATTTTCTATTTCAGTTAATCAAATGAATGTATCATTAGCATACAGGAGGTTACAACCAGACTAGTCTTTAGTGGTACCAAATGACTCTAGGCTAAGGTTTTTTCTGTATACCGAGGGTTGAGTACATCGTACTAAACTGGTTTTGGTGCTTCACTATGTCATTACAGTCCATGTTGCCACATCTGTTTATGCTCTCTTTCTAATGATCGTGCACTTCTGCAACAACCCTGCGGCATAGTTTCAATTGTAAAGGCTCTGTTTTAAGACTGTCATGCCCAAAACACACACCTCCTTCCTACCTGCTTTCCATAATACCTCTAGTGTATAAGGATAACAGTTTCCTATTGCCCTGTTTAAACAATCTAGTTACACAGACTTTTTTGTTTGGCATCAGTTTCATGTACTAAAAAAATTTAAATGATTCTAAATTTGAACCCTTGTCTTATTATTTATCTATTTAAACTCAATCTTTGGAAAATCACCTAAGTTCCTCTACTAAGTTTCATCAAAATTGGTTCAACCAGTCTCATAACTTGTGATATTAGGGCATCGGACAGGTAAACAATTCTTTGTTTTATATATATAGCAGTTATGAGATAGCAGTTAAATTCAAAATAAAAATTAGCAGCCCTTCACTTTTCTTTAAGAATATATGTCATTGAAACAAAAGTTGACCACTGCAAAGGATTTTTAGCTGATACCTCATGGAAATGGAAACAGTAGTTTGTATGAACTCTAGTAAAATATACACTTTCATCAAACAAATACTTGTCATGATACGTTTTGACTTAAAAACGTTTTGAACCAATTGTCATCTATTGAAATCAGCAGTTATAAACAAATGCACACTGATAATTATTATGCACATTGTTTCTTGCAACTTTTTATCTTTCTTTGTAGGAATTAATGTATCAAACATATAGGAAAACAATCCGTTGGGACTTTATTAAGTCACTGGAACCTCCCAGGGTTGTACAGGTGCGGTGTACAGATGTGCTCACCAAAGACAACGTGTATGCCCAGGTCACTGTTCGAATGCACAGCCAACAGGTAATAATGTTTTTGTTTTTGCTAATATTTCTTATAGAAGACATCCAGTTAGTTATCATGTTGTTTTGATAGTAGCAAGGACCAGTGAAATCACTTTTATACATGAAACTGTTGAAGTCCAAAAGCATTATTACATTTCATTTTTGAATAAAAATAGTGAACTTTACTAACAGAAAGAATCATTTGTTTAACATTTTCTGCTCACCATTTTCCAAGATATGAAGTACATTGATTTTGACACATGCATTCAGTGTTAAGAAAGGAAACTATATAATAAATTCTATTTGTAGTTTTAGCTATTCCAGTACTACAACTTCTGGCTTGGTGCAAGTGCTATTTATAAATAATAGTAGTAAAAATATTGATAACAAAGACTTTATGGGAAGCACTAAAACCAGCTGTGTTAACATATTTTTCCAACATCATATTGTCATTGAGTAACTCAAATGTGAAAAGTAAGCACATGATATTTCCAGTTCAAGGTAGAAAATATCGATGTTGTAAGCTTTCCAGCTTACTATGTTGATATCAAAAGTACGAGTGTATCTAAAAAGATGTTTCGTTTGACATTATATTTTACGTTTGTTTTTAAACCAATTAGTAAGAACACTGTTTGTCGACAATCTAGTGTCCTAAAAGCATCGCTGATTGAATTAAATGTTCATCATGAAAGCAAATAGTGATGTGTAAATATTTATTCCTTTTCTCTATAGACTCTGGCTATTTATGACAGATTTGGAAGGTTAATGTATGGAAGTGAAGCTGTTGTAAAGGATGTGCTTGAATATGTGGTGCTTGAAAAACATCTGGCTAATCAATATGGAATGTGGCGGATTCATGGAAAGATCGTACCTGAATGGATGCCTCCTAAAGATCCTATTCTGAAGACTTTCATAAAAAAAGATTTTCATGCAGAGCCAAAAACAGACACAGTTGTTCCAACTGGTGACGTAATAGTTCAAAAGTCAGATATGTCCACTGTGGCTGTTTAATATATGTTGTTGTTATTTGACTGTGTATCTAGCTTTGTTTATTTTCATTTTTTGAATATTAAACCATATGCATATTACTTATAATCATATATATTTATTTGATTTTATTATATTGTGTATCTGCATTTATTGCATATAAATGGTAATTAACCCAGAATCAAAAAGATTTGAGCATGACAACAATTATCAATTAAATACAACAAAGTAGAAAAAAAATAATGAAAACTATTGAAATAATATCATGGTCCACCATACTAGTATAACTTTTTTCTGTTATAGAAGACTGTGGATGTTATGAAGAACATAAGGTATAGTTAGTACATTTGGATGTCTTAACACAGTCTGGTACATCCTTCACTGTTTTGGTGAAAATTATAAGTTCAAAAATATTTTAAGAAACAGCCATTCACCAGTAACATCTGTAGTTACTATGAAAAGAATATTTGTTCATTTAGTGAAAGTGTTATTGATTTTCATATATGACCAAGTAGAAGTTAAATACTACTTTAATAATATTTAGTTTGGCCAACACCATTGCTGGTTCCCACGTATTTGTATTATAACCTTAAATGGTGATGATAAAAAAATGTCATCAATAACTACAAAACAGTTGTCAGGCATAAACTAGTGTTCCTGACACAAGTTTCTCAGAAACCAAATTGTCTCTCAAACAGAAAATTTGAGTTTAAGATGTTGGTATTATTGCTATTACAAGTGATTTTTCATGAACAGGAGAATGTCCTGATCAATTATCTTAATATTTTATTTTAGATACTATGAATAAAAAGTATTACACAAGTTTATGGTTTTAAAAATGAATCCTGCATAAAGAAAATGATAAATATCCATACTGTTGTTTGTCTAACTAATCTTCTTCCTTCACAAGCTTAGGCATTATGGCATATTAAGAAAGTTTTGAATCCGCCAACTGTTCTATCCATGCTTAATCAGTCTTAGTATTTAAAGTAATGGTTTTTTGTGACCCTTGAAATTAAGATTGAAGACTAGTGAATCACTGCTTTAAAAAATATTAACTTTTCAGAAGTTTCAATGGAGGAATGTCATGTGTCTAATTGTGACTGTTTTCAAAGAAGTAGATGTCCTTATATAAAGGGTCTGTTAAAGGAAATGTGAAGATGGAAGATTTGGGCCATGAGAGAAGGTTTATTGTGAAGTACAATAGCCTTGGAAGCACTCAGTCTTGTGGATGAAAGAGGTAATCTTCAAAGCAAGGAAAACAAAACATTTCGCCACATCACGGAAAGAGTATACTTGCATCATTTATTGGTGTGGTATTTTGAGTTGTAAAAAATGCCTTACTAAGAGTTTCTAACATATTAACCCTTTTACGCTTCTCTTTTAAGTTGTGAGGGGGGGGGGTGTCAATCCCACTTTTCGTCGGTAAAAGAGTAGCTCAAACGTTGGCAATGAGTAGTGTTCACTAGCTGCTTTCCATCTAGTATATATTTCTAAATTAGGGACGACTAACGTAAGTTGACCTTGAGTAGTTTTATGCGAAATTAAATAAACAAAACTTCTCTACAGCACAAGAAGTCTGGGGTTCGAATCTGATGCAGAGAAATAAAAAAATATTAATGCATTACCATAATATAACATCGAATTTGTCTCGATAGGCATAAGAAAGAAATCATTTCAGTTAATCCTTTGAAGTTCAAAATTAAGAACAAAAACTATTGTTTACATGTCAAGTAAAACCAAGGGTGGTGCGGAGGATCCCTTCAGGTGGTTCCTGGAATAGTTACGGAATGGATGCCACAGTATGATGTACAGTTTCTGTTGTGGTTTACTGAGATAATAATAACAAATCAGGTGGTTCTTGAAGAAAAAGTTTGAGAACCACTGGCGTAGGAAAAATTGTCAACATAAAATTTCCGCACACCAGCTATACACATATGAATTAATAAGTAAAAAAAGCATAGTATATTTATATACCAAATGAAATTGTGAAATACTTTTCACCATTACGATCCATTTTGTTAGTTACATATTTTTTTTACTAAGAATTTGATTAAAACTCGCAGTGGAAGCTAAAACACCCCATTTATAAATACTCATTAACCTTGACTCAGTCCCTTGTTAGAGCTAATAAAATTTGGCTATTAAAATTCATTAAAGATCAAAGCAGTTGTGAGGTGTTTAATGTAATTTTTAGTGTATATATATGTACAGATGAGGTCATGAAAAATGCTATGATTTGTAGTTATGCTGATTATTTACTTTCCGGTAATATTCTTTACATTATAGTGACATTTGAGACATACTCGAAACGTCGTATCAATTAATAACTGGAAAATCCAATATAGTAAAAATATAATAATCTTTTTACAAAAATTGGTTCTCTTCAGGCTATGGCCGTTTATTTATAGCATAATTTTCGAATTTCTGTTGGGAGTACTTAGCACAACAGCCGTAATTTTAACAAGTATGACCATTTACAGTTATATCATTTCACGTTCTCGTTATAATGTTCTTTTGGTTTTCAAAAGCACTTGCACGTTTCATCATTCTAGGTCAAAAACTGCTCTAGTAACAGCGTGAAATATTAGTTATTGGCTGCCATATGACAGTATAGTTGAGATAATCGAATTCAGACCTTCATTGAGAGGATTAACTGAGTCACAGTTTAGCTCTTGTTGGGCCTTAAAAGTCTGACCAATCATTTCCTAGGCATACTTATTCCATTTTGGTGGTTAGGGCGCTCTACTCGCAATCTGTGGGTCGCGGGTTCGAATCCCCGTCACACTAAACATGCTCGCCCTTTCAGCCGTGAGGGCGTTATAATGTGACGGTAAATCCCACTATTCGTTGGTAAAATTGTAGCCCAAGAGTTGGCGGTGGGTGGTGATGACTAGCTGCCTTCCCTCTAGTCTTACACTGATAAATTAGGGACGGCTAGCGTAGATAGCCCTCGTGTAGCTTTGCGCGAAATTCATAACAAATAAACAATCCATTTTGATTGTCATTGTTGGTAGACTTTGATTACAAATATCATTGAATAGCGAGTCCAGGAGATAATATTTGATAACAAACTATAAACGGGCACCAACTGGCATGCCCCATTTCATGGTCAGAGAGATCCTTGCTCTTACCTGTTGTCTTGCAGACTAGTCTTAAAGTGATTACATCTCTGCATTTATAGGGCTCAAGCAGTCACCTGGCACATCATATGTAAGATAAGTAAATAAACAGCGTTCTTCAAATGTTTATGAGAAGGTTTTATTAAAATGGCCAATAAGAGTAATGTTTACTCATATTCTAGAGATAATTTTCAAGTATGAGAATATAATAGCATTCACTTTTTTGTAGGTTTGAACTCGTGACATTTTTTGGAAGCGATGTGATGGCTGCATTAAAAATATTTTTACTCTGAGTTTCTACCAATACATTCTCTATGCCAGTGGTCGGCAACAATGACCCGCGGCAATAATTTGGCTGACCCGCCAAAAGTTGGCTTCACCATTGCAACCCGTAAGGGCACAATCATTGTTCAGTTCAAATTTCTCGGCTATGTGAGAAGAACAACGATATTAAACGAAAGAT